TACATTGTGAATGTTAATTAATGTTAGAAGGATCAAACCTATATTTATAGAGTTCTAAACATTTTCCTACAAGAAAAGCACTAGTCAAATATTAAAATATTTTGCGAAGGGAAATATGGTCATTATAACTCTTTGATGACAATTGTTCTCAAACAGTTAAACTGGCAAGCATTAGCGAAAGAAATTCAATCATTAAAAGTTATAGTATATAGTTAGTAAAGAGAAATTTGATGACTAAAATCACTTAAAACAACAAAAATAGTTTTTTTATGATCAATCAACAAATTAACAAATTAGCGAAGGAAAACTTATATCACTAAAAAAATAATGTATAAATAATAATCAAAATATATTGTTATTAAAAGACCTTTGACAACGGAATTTTTAATATCAAAATTTTGACAACTGATTATGAAAAGATTTTTGATCTATCAACTTTTGACAGACCGTTTTCCCGTTATTATGTTCAGTGGGAATGTGATTGAAAGATAGTAGAACACGGACTTATTGACAGTGACAGTGAAGGTCCATATACAATCTTTGACTACAAGTTCAAACTTGGCTCTTCTCAAATTGTTTGTTAGTTACTTAATTAGGTATTCTAATGACTTAATTTGACGTCGGTAAACTTAACTTTAAAATTAAATTAAAGTTAGATGAAACAATTACTTAAGTGGAGAACAAATAACTTTGTAATAATTTATTATGCGATTTTATAATTTTTTGTTTATTTGATAAGATTGAATAAACAATCGGGGCTATTTTAATAGTTTTACAACTTATGAGATTTTTATGTTTATGAGAAAATATACAACACAAAAATTCCATAGCGCATGTCCAAACAAACCTTCAATTTCATCTCATGATTCCATATCATGATACGATATCATGATTCCATATCATGATACGATATCATGATTCCATATCATGATTCCATATCATGATACGATATCATGATACCATATCGCATGGCCAAACTGGCCCTAAAACAAAAGGGTTCATTTTAAAATAGTTAAATACTTAACCAATGGACTCAATATATATAGAGGAATATGGTTGGATTATCTTGCTCTTCTCACTATTTTTTCTTTTTCAGTTTTAATATATAAGTACTTTTTTAGGAAAATCCCTATTGACTAGTGTACAACTCAAACTCCCAAATTGCAATAGTCCAAGCCACTAGGAATAGGGTGATGTTATGAGTTATGACAAGCATTGCAATTTGCAAAAGAGTGGAGACTTTTGCAAGTATAGAAATTGGATTTTGGAAAGTTAAAACTAGGGACCATTAAGGGCTTGCTCTGTCGGCCAAGAAGCCTTGTGGATAAACTATACTCAACAATTTTTTTTTAAAAAGAGGATAACGATTGGGTCACAAGTGGGGGTTTTAATTTTGAAGCAGATGGTCTCTTATTCCAATTTTGGTCTAACAAGTTGTATTGGTATGAAAATGTTGGATTCTTGTGCCAAAATCAATGAATTTGTAGTAACGTAACCCTCATAGTTAGTTTTTCAGCCAATGAAATTCAGTTAGAAGTTTAAACGTAAAATAAATTATGTCACAGCAAGTGTGGTGTTACAATTGAAAGATACTAGAAAACGGGCTAAATGACAGTGACATTGAACGTCCTTGTGCTGCCTTTTGACTACAAGTTCAAACTTGTTACACTCAACTACTTGTTGTTCGTTGCAAAATTCACTCCTTATTTACGAAGGGAAATATGGTCTTTATAACTCTTTGATAACAAGTTCTCCAACAGTTAAACGGGCAAGCATTAGCGAAAGAAAATTCAATTGTTAAAACATTATATACCGTTAATAAAGAAAATCTTGATGGCTAAAATTACTTGTAACGACAAAAATAATTTTTTTCATCAAAAGTTGTTTTAATTTTATGATTGATCAACAAATTTGTGAAGACAAAAAATGATGTCACTAAAAATAATCAGAATTTATATTGTTATAAAAGAACCTTTGACGACTGAATTTTTAATGTGGAAATTTTTGACAACCGATGACTAAAGGATTTTTTATCTATCAACTTTTCAGTCGCTAAAGAACTATTTTCCTGTAGTAATAAAGGGGATCCAGTATTTTATGTGTTTTCCCTTATTATGTTCACTGGGGATGTGGTTGAAAGATACTAGAACACGGACTAAATGACAGCGACACTGAAGTTCCATGTGCAGTTTTTGACTACAAGTTCAAACTTGGCTCTTCTCAAATTGTTTGTTAGTTACTTAATTAGGTATTCAAATGACTTAATTTGACGTCGGTAAACTAAAGTGGCTGCTAAAGTTAATATAGCTGCTTCTTATTAAATAAATGATTAATTAAATAAAGAAGAATACACGTCGGCTGTCTATAAGTATTACTCCCTCCGTTTAAAAAAGAGTGACCTGGTTTGACTTGACACGGAATTTTAGAAAATAAAGAAGAATTTTGAATCTTGTGGTCCTAAATTAAAGTTATGTCAAATGTACTAAATTGCCCTTCAATCTTGTGGCTTTAAACATGTCATGTGAAAAACTGAAATTTATAGGGGAAATTACGTGGTTAAGCAAACTTATACTAATTAATTACTCATCATAGCTATAGTTTGCTATAATTACCACTCACGACTAACATTATACATTAATTACGCGAGCTGACTTCGGGTTTGTATAATTAGCCACGTTTGTATATGTATAATTCGCCAGAATATACAAATACATATATATAATATACAATTATCTAACCTATATACATATACAATTCACCTCTCTCCCACTCTCTGCCCTCTCTCGCTCGCCTCTCTCCTCCCTCTCCCAATCTCGCTTGTCATATATACAAATGCATATGTATAGTATACAATTATCTAATCTATATACATATACAATTCACCTCTCTCCCACTCTCTGCCCTCTCTCGCTCGCCTCTCTCCTCCCTCTCCCAATCTCACTCGCCTCTCTCCTCCCTCTCCCAATCTCGCTTGCCATATATACAAATACATATGTATAATATACAATTATCTAACCTATATACATATACAATTCACCTTTCTCCCACTCTTTGCCCCCTCTCTCTCTCGCCTCTCTCCTCTCTCTCCCAGTCTCGCTCGCCTCTCTCCTCCATATAACATGTAACTATGAATAACTATAGCTATGGAGAGTAATTAGGTTATTTTTGAATGGTTATATATATAAAAATTCTCATTAAAATATTATCAAAAAAGAAAAGATGTCATTCTTTTTTAAACAAATAAAAAAGGAAAGAGGAAGTACTATATAAATGCCCCTAGTGGCAGATAAAACAAAGAGAGCTCTTTAATTTAATTTTAATCAGCTAAGAGTGTTGAACGGATCTATAATTTACAAAAAATAAATGATGTTCTTTTTTCAGTTGAACTTGAAACTTGTGCCACTTTTGACAAAGGGGCATGTGCAATTATCGATAAGAAAATTGGTATTCCATCTACTTGGGCATCGCCTATATTTTATTATGTTCATATTATTGCTTCTAAAACTATAGAGTATAATTTAAAGGGAATAAACTTGGTAAATATTTTATTCGTTTGGTAACTGGCATGAAATTTGGTATCCTTCTACTATCTTGTGTGTCTCTTAATACTTCATATGCTAAATTCTCATAAAATGTTTCTCCTCTAATAAGTTTTACGATATAGTGTTAAGTTAAATTTACCTAACAAATATTAAATATAATTAGTTTTTTCGTTTCTAGTTACGCGTTGTACTTATTAAAATTAGATATTCCTTATTATTTGTCATTTCACAAAATCAATGCATCAATGACACTATTCTTTCTATTTTATCCTTTGAAAGTTATTAGACTTGGAAATATATATTTGATCAATAGAGAAAAAAAACTAAAGTAATCCATGTTCATTGGTCAAATTAGTTAATCAACTTAAATTAATTCATGTTCATTTATTAAATTAAACATCCTTGCTATTAGGAAATACTCCTCCTTTATATTTTTAGTTTTTATATTTAGTATAAAATATAAGAAACATATTTTAAGAAATGTTTAATAAATAGGGGTAACTTAAATAAATGGTTACCTTGGATTTATTGTTTTTCTTAGTGTGAAAATAGCTAATTGAAATGAGAATCGAATTTTGCACATCACGGATTTTATTACTATCGATGTCCCCACCTATTACTGCTCTCTTAAGCGTTCAGATGCTATTATTCTCCACAAGTTAACTTCACGTTCAGATTGGATCTCTCCGCTAACAGAGACTACCTTTTTGTCCACACACAGATGGAGACTACCACATACTCAAAGCCAAACCAAAAGTTTCTCGATCCAATACATCTTTGATTAATGTTGTTCAAATTTATTTTCTCCGTTCAATTATAGTTATCCATTATACTAAAAATAGTTGTCCAATAATATTTATCCAATTTACAATGTGAATCGACTTTTTTTATAATGAAGAAATATGTAATGCCTGGATTATTCATAAAGGAATAATCTGTTGCGCTTTCGGCCAGAAATCTATTCATACCTGCAAGTGATATTAATTGCGCATTTCCTTCACTTTTTGTTTTTCTCATTATTCTATGAATATAAATTCAGGATGAGATATTATTCAGAATACACCTAATTAATTTAATTTAATGCCGTCCGGTTCATGTACTCCGTGCTGTCCACCTTTTGCTTTTTCCTTTTTGTGGAACAATCAATATGTCGAACACAAACCCGTGATTGTAAAATGAGTGGATATGCATAATAATTACTCATCCGTCTCAATTTATGTTACCTACTTTAATTTGAGCAAAATTTAAGAAAGAAAAAAAAATTCTAAAACTTATCATTTAAAACAATCACAATTTTTTGTGTGACTATTAATCATTTTATTAAGTATAAAATATAGATTTTAAAATTAAATTATTACTAAATATAAATTATTTGTAAGACTAACTAAAATGAAAGTGAATGGTATAAATTGAGATAGAGGGAGTAGTATATTAAAATAATGCCAGGAACATTGCATCCTTATAAGAAAGTGCAAGAACCTTTTCCCAACCATTCATCCCCAATCCTTTTTCCCTCATCATTTGATAATGGATTCCTCTACTCCTAATTGTCATGGCCTTTCCACATTTCACATTTCATTTTTCTACTTCATTGTAATAGCATCCACATTGCTATGCTCATCAACAGCAACAAGAGACCTTACCAAAAAATCCGAATTCAATACCTCTGATTTCATCAAAACCTCTTGTAGCACTACATTATACCCCAAATTATGCATTGAAACACTGTCACCTTACTCAAACTCCATCCAAACAAACCCAATGGAATTAGCCAATTCTGCACTTACAGTGAGCTTAAAAGGAGCTAAATCAACGACGAACAAAATCGCAAAGATGTCTAAAGAGGAAAGCTTAGGTGCAGCAGAAGCACATGCCTTAACAGACTGTGTGGAAAACATGGAAGATTCTGTTGATGAGCTTCAGAAATCATTGTTGGAAATGAAGAATTTGAATGGACCAGATTTTGAAGAGAAAATGGGGAATGTAATGACATGGGTAAGTGGTGCTTTGACAGATGAAGATACTTGTATGGATGGATTTCAAGAAAATTCTGCTATGAATGCCAAAGTTAAGGCTACTATTAGAAATTATATTGTTAATGTAGCACAGTTAACTAGCAATGCTTTAGCTCTTACCAAAAATCTTTCCTCTACTTAGTACATTAAATAAATTCACCACTATAATTTTTGTTCAGATGCTTTCCTTTTCCCATTTTGGAAAACAAAACAGAGCTTCTCTTCTTTATTTTCCGATTTTATGAGGAAGAAAAATGCGGATGCCAATATCTAATTATAGGCGAATCTAAGATTTATAGAATACTCCTCTGTTTCTAATTACTTGTCTACTATTTTCTTTTATAGTTGTTCCTAATTACTTGTCCATTTTGACAAATCAAGTAAAGACAATTTTTTTCCACATATTATACCCTCAATTAAATAATTAATTAATTTGAAAAATACAAAACTTTTCATCCACTTCATAATTAAAAGGGGTAAAATAATAAACTCACTATATCATTAATTGATTTTTTAATAGGTGTGTCAATTCAAAAGTGGACAAGTAATTATGGACAGAGGGAGTATGAACGTACTATTATAAAAAAAATTAAACATATTTCAAGTGGGAATTGATCCTAGTCATCATATTTGCCGCTTTTGACCCAATTAAGTAGTCAATTCAAGTCAAATACATGTATCTTTAATATTTGATTCTGAAATGTAGATACAGAGAGAGCCGAGCTAGAGAGAAACGAGAGAGTAGATTAGTGTATCCTAAATACATGTGAATCGCGCTTGGATATAGTGTATCTGGCACAAATCACACTTAATTTGATCCGCATGTATCCGAGTGCCTTATATACATATATTTGACGAAGTAAATGTGAGACAAAAGATAATTTATAAAACTAAAGTGAAAATAGTCATTAGATCCTAAACTATTGGGATTTGTGTTATTTGCTCATAAAATAAGGTTGGTCCTAAGCCTCGGATTGCCATGTTTGGGCCTCAGACACAAAGCCCAAGTGCCCAACATATTTGGATACATCACATCATAGCCCAGTTGCAAATAATGGCCCAACTAATGATGAATCACAGCCGACAGCTGGTTTGAAGAATCTCCAATGAAAATCCTTAGATTTTGTAAGCTGTAACGTGAGAATATAAAATGAGCACGGTACACCAAACTAAATTTGTTATTATTAGCCAATACTTAGTGGACAGCTGTATAGGAATATTCCTTTTGTTTTACCATTTTCTACCCTTACTCATATTAACACTGAAACTCAATGAAATTTGAATTCCACTGCAAAGTCCCACATTGAAAGATTAAACGTTCCTAACTATCAACAAAAATGTTCATTTTTGCTTTCTACATCATCTTAATCTATACTCTACGGGTTTGAATAGAAGAACTAAATAATTTTGATGTTTTCAGAAAGCAAAAATATTTGTCTGGAAATCTATATTAAAAATTTGCAAAACGTGACAGAAGGTTCTCAAGACTCAAGTTCATTCTTATTGCTTCGCTAATCAGCAAATTTTGTAATATAAAAACTTAATTGCTCCGTGCCGAATTTTCACCATGAGCACCAGACAACACCAAAATAGATAAAATTAGCTAAAAATAATAATAATAATAATAAAATTAGGAGTAATTCTTACACGTAAAGTGTCCCTTAAGAAGCTTTCATCTTTTTTCCTTAAAGAATTCATCAATCAATTGATCCTCTAATATCCTCGATTTGCCTAGGAAGCAATGTCCTCTACTTTTATTTAGGAGAACAGAAAGTATGAGCTCTATATACTTTATTGTAAATTATACGTATGATCGCACAATTATCATTTGATTTCACAAAAGTTACTTAACTTATTTTTACAGATTAAAATGTTAAAAACATCTAATTTAGATTATTTTTGTCCGGCTTCAACTTGGGTGCCGCTCAAATTTTGAAGGGGAGCGTTTTTTCTCCCTATTGATCATAGAATAACATGTTTAAATCACTAAATCATGACTTAAAAATCCACATGATGAAGTTTCATTAGAACGTAACCTTTCTCGTTACAAAACGTCTTGCCTAAGCCATAATTATAATTATTGAGGTTCATGTTCAACGTAAAGGAAAACACGCATCAATGCAAACGTCTTCGACAAGTAATTTTCCACTAACTTGTAGCTAGAGTCTAGAGACATCGCCTTCTCTTTTGCAGTGTTTGTGCTTCTCATTTTTTGATCAATTTCTAGCCACGTTCACGCATTAATATCTTTAGTTGAATAATAAACTTTATAAGTATTGGCCATGTTATCTTCACGCTTCGTACGTACCTTAAAAAAATATGAACTACTGGACCTATATAATGTGCAATTAATAGTTGAATATTGTAGGTGTAATTGATGTATTTATTTTATATACGTAAATTAGAAGTCATAGATCCACCTTGGATCTCACACGTTGATAAGTTGACTCTGCCGACGAACTCCAGATACTTGAATTTCCCATGTGATTGCCGCATTGGTGGCGGCGCCAAATAAGCTCATACGCCTACATTCACAACTCATTTTTGAGCACCAATTTTATTGTTATTTTTAATACTCACTTTTAAGCATCTTAATTTAATTATTAGACACAAAATGAAAAGAATTTTGAATTTTGTTGTCTAAAATTAAAAAGACATAATATATAAATATGTCTTTTAACTTGGATTCAACTGACATGTATATCTTTCAACTTTGAATGTCCACAAATAAGCTTTTAACTTGTATAATAAAATTGAACAAATAACACACTTGTCCTACATGATGTCCTACATGATAATTTTGGTCCTATGTAGCGTTCTATATGTATTATACCACATAGGACGTGCATGTCTACTTGTTCAATTTTATACAAATTTAAGTGTCTACTTATACATACCCAAAATTGTAGGGCCTAGATGTCAACTGAAATTAAGTTAAAGAGTATGCCAATTAAAAATATATGTAATGTATTAAAATGTCTTTTAAATGTTGTGGTTTTAGTGGGATATTTGACTTTAGGCAGATCAAAAAAGAGAATAAAATATTATCATAACCAAACTTGAACAATTAAGAAAGATTGTTCCTTCTGCCAATTTGTTTGTCACTATAAATATATTCACATCTTCTCTCTATATTCATAATACAACATTTCTCCTCACTACTTACTATAGCTAGCACAAGAACTAATAATGGCGTCTAGTTGCAAAAGCTTGATTTTATTGCAACTCTTTTCAATTGTTCTATTCTTCTCACAAACACATCTTCTAGTCACAGCTGCCAAAGACTCTGGGCAAGCCAACACTAACTTCGTCAAAACCAAATGCAAAATCACCACATACCCTTCACTCTGCCTCAAAACACTAATTCCCTACGCGTCTTCTGTTAATGCCAACTCCACAAAACTTTGCAAAGAAGCCCTTAACGTAGCCACAAAAGGTGCACGAGATGCCTCTACCATTGTCTTGAATCTGAAAAAACAAAAGGGAATTAAGCGATACGAAGCCGCGGCTATTAAGGACTGCATAGAAGATGTGAAGGATGCAGTGTACGAACTGAAGCGAGCTGTTGATGCAATGGGACATTTAGGTGATAAAGATAAGGCATTTCAGTTGGCTAATGCTAAAACGTATGCAAGTGCTGCTATAACAGACGCGGACTCGTGCACAGGTGGGTTAACTGACCAGGGTAAGGTAAATCCAAAAGTGATGGATGCAATAAATAGAAGTATGGCTGTTGTTATTAAACTTAGCAGCATTGCCTTGTCACTCATTAACCATATTTAATTTATATATGAATGATGAATAGTGACAGTTTGTATTGAAAAAGTGATATCCATTTTATTGCTATAATTAACATTGATTTTTCATTGCATTTGTAACGTTTGTACTAAAATTTGTGTAACAAATCCAAACGTAGAAATAGCAACAAACCACTTTCAATTTCAATTTGTGTGACAAACCTATACGTAGAAATAGCAACAAACCACTTTCATTTTGTGTGACAAATCCAAACGTAAAAATAGCAACAGATCACTTTCAAAGGAAACAAACTCCTAACAAGTGCAAAAATCAAATTGCTGACTTGTGCACGTAATGTTCACCGTTTGGAACGGCGAGGTAAGTTGACATTGCACGTTCACAACTTATTTTAGATTTGCTTCCAAATATTTTGGCAATTTCCATAATTCTAACTTCGCATTACTTAGTGATGAGTTATTTTGTAATGAACGTTTAGTAGCTTAGTTAGTGGCTACCTAGTATTGTTGATGAGGGTTCTCCGTCCCCATTTGATTTAGTAAGATCATTGAATAATTAACGTACAAAAATTTAAAATAATATTGTAAAATACAATAATTTGCCTAATGTTAAAATTTCATTAGACCTTGTCGTACTTAACAAAAAAAAAGTAAAGAAAAAAAAGGAAGATAGAACAAATAATCAAGTAAAAATAACTCAAAATACAAAAACTAATAACCAAGAAGTTCTAAAATCAAGAGTAAGAGTAATTATCGGAACGTCTAGTATGCCCATATGATTCTTCCTCTTGCCAATTTGATTTCCATAAATACACGTTCATATCTTTTCTCTTTATTCCCAACACGAGAAAAATGTATGGCAAAACCTTGATTTTCCCCTTTTTGGCAATAGTTTTTTTCATCACACAAACAGCTACAGCTGCGAAAGAGTCCTCTAGGCCAGCCTACACAAATTTCATCAAAACCAAATGCAACATCACCACAAACCCTTCACTTTGTGTGAAAACATTATTGCCCTATGCTTCTACAGTGAAAACCAACCCCAGAATACTTTGCAAAGAAGCCCTTAAAGTAGCCATAAAAGGCGCACGCAGCGCTTCTCTCATTTTCTGGAATCTGAAAAAACAGGAGGGAATTTCCCAATATGAAGCCGGGGCTATTAGAGACTGCGTAGAAGCTGTGAAGACTTCAGTGCACGAACTCAAGCAGACTGTTAACACAATAGGACATCTAAGTGGTGCTGAAGATAAAGAATCTCAGTTGCATAACGCTATATCGTACGCAAGTTCTGCATTAACAAATGCAGAAACATGCATCGATGGGTTCTCCGAATCAGAGGAAAAGGTAAATCCAGACGTGAAGAAGGTGATAGATAAAAGCATCACTGTTATTAAAACGCTTGCCAGCAATGCGTTGTCACTCATTAGCGATCTTTAATTTGTGAATTCTACGCTTTAATTTTGTGGTTCAGAGACTGGATCCATAGATTTGGTGGAATTAATGCATATGACAATAATTAATTTCTTCTTATAATATTGTGGATCTGATGTCATTATTTTTATTGTCTGCTTAAGATACGTACCACCATAAATTTAGTTAGTTTGATGAGCTTGATCATGTGCACGCTATGGTTTTATTTAGAGTAAACACGTAAGAAAACCATTAAACTTGGCAACACAACTTACTTTAGCACTTAAATGATACGAGCATTTAAATATCCTCCTAACATTTTGAAGTGAATTAGAATGCCACTCTCACTTGCCACATCATAGCCTTGTAAGCACCACGTCACAACCATATAAGCACTATGTCATTAGTTTTCAAATTTTTTTTTGCTTGTTCATCTTTTTTCACACTTTTTAAAATTCATTACACTTATCAATTAACTAAAAATGCATTTTAAAATCAAAATTGCCCAACCTCATCATAGCCATGTAAGCACCACGTCACAACTCACAACCATATAAGCACTACATCATTAATTTTCAATTTTTTTTTTTTTTGCTTATTCAACTTTTTTCTTAAACACTTTTTAAGATTCATTACACTAATCAATTAATTAAAAATTTATTTTAAAATCAAAATTACCCCACCTTCTCCCCCCCCCCCCCCCCCTCTCTTTCTTCTTTCTTGATTTTCACCATTTTCAGCCTTCACTGGCTTCTCTTTTTTCCCCGACCATTTTCAACCTTCAATAGTTGTTTTCTTTTTCAACATTCATCAGTTTTTCTTTAAAAAAATAGCATACTTACTTTTTCTTCTTCGAACCCTCACCCTCTCCCACAAATCTGCCACTCGGAAAATGATATTTTTTGAAAGTTATTTTTTTTCTTAACAACACTCAAATGAAAAATGAAGGTTGTATAAAAAAGTTGATAGATCCACATTTTTTGCATCACAACTAATAGAAATCAAAATAGGTCACTTAAAATTCAAGAAAGTTTACATTCAATAATATAAATTACGTGTTGGATTTTGGGGATTAATGAAGGGCTGGTGAGGTGAGGGATGAAGATGAAGGAAAAATGACTAATATGAAAGAAGAAAGGTATAAGAAGATCTTCAAATGGGAAGAAGACATTTGAGGAAGACAAAATAAAGAGGACAAAAATATTTTATTTTTTTTAAATCGAACCCACAAATTTCATTTACTTCTTAACAAGAAATTTCACATTTTTTTAAAATTTAACTTATAAATTATTTTTAAAAAAAAACTATTAGTTATATATTGGCTAAGTCATGTTTATGATTTTACCATTCAGTATTTTTTATTTTTATTATTTCATGCGCTTCAAAATTGTTAAGGGGGTATTTAAATATCTGTATAAGGGTCTGAAAAATATATAGAAACAACATTTTAATCAACCCATTTTCTAAACCACATTTTAATCGGATTTGTTGTTGCGATACTAAACTTTCATAAGGACCTATTACCTCCCTAGACTATTTAATACCGTATTTTTTATCGCCTGAACTATTTAATAGTGTATTTTAAAGGTATATAGGTTCCCACGTGGACACATTACTATTTATAATTTTGCATTATTTTTTATGTCCACGTTGGAAAATATATATGTTTAAAATACAGTATTAAATAGTCTAGGGAGGTAATAGATCCTCATCAAAGTTTAGTATCGCAACAGTAAATCCGACCAAAGTAGGGGTGTCTTTCAAACCCTTATCCCATTAAAGTACTAAAGTAAATTTTGCTGTCAAGTTCAAATGATTTGATGTATTTACTCTTTTATTTAAAACAATTTCTTAGAGTTGGTTTTCGAAGATTGTGGTGCTTAATTGTGTTTGCAATTTGGAATATTCTTAGAGAGTTGATTTTCAAAGCTCAAACTTCTTGTATATGCTGATAGAAAATGGGTTGATTAAAATGTGGTTTCTATATATTGGACATTTTAGTTATTTCAATAGTGATAGCAATGGAGCGGGATGGGATGGGTTTAAGGCTATGCGGGGCGGAGCGGGTTTAAGGTTGTGCGGGGCGGATTGCGGGTATATGTGATTTTATGTGGGTTCAAACTTAATTTTAATTATTACAAGTTATAAGAATATTGAAAGAACATTATTTATTAAGATAATTTCTTTAATTAAAGCTACTAAAATATTCAAAATAGTAAATGAAAAAATGACTCAATAAAAAAATACTAATATGTACTATTTCTTACATGTTTAAGTCACTATCAAATTAAATTAACATAACTTAATGAAAAAAATGAATTTATTTTTATGAATTTTATTTTTAGTATCAAACTTAATTAGAAAAAGAAAATATTAAAATAAATAATATGCGGAGTGGGTTCATGCGGGGTGGAGTGGGGGAGGGGTTTGAAAATAAAAAAAGTTGTTATACGGGACGGAACAAATTAAAAACTATACGAATTAAGCTTAACCCACCTCGCCCTCGCCCCACACCGCCCCATTGACATCCTTAAATTTCAACGATTGACATGTTGGTACAAGTTCTATGTAAAATTGGTATCTTTAGACCCAACACTTATTTAGAAAAAAGAAGACCTAAAAATAACATGGTTATGTATTCAATCTTGTACCCGGACCCTAAAATCATGCTAAGAATAATAATATGCTATTTACACTCTAATGTATGTCCTTTTTTGTGGGTTGCACTTTATCATATCATTTTTAATGCTTTGCATCCTAATTACATCCTTTTCCTTGTATTTGAGGCTAATAATTACTATGTTAGTGTCATTAAAAACACCCATCTTGTCTCGCAGAAAAAAAAAAAAAAAACATAATGTATGTAAAGAAAATATATTTCAACAATACCAGGACCCTACATTGAATTTGGGAAGGGAAGTAAAGCCCTAGGACCTCAACACCCTGTGCCCAAACTTGTGTACAACTTGAATAGTGAGAATGTATATAAATCAACATCAATAATACAAATTAAATCATTTTCACGCCAATTAAATTAATACACTAGTTTAAATGTAAACTAATGTAAGGTAAGCAAACGAAGCGCCAGCCATAGCCATAGAGGACCAGCCAACGGAGGACGTGGCGGATGAGCTGCTGTTGGTGGTGGTTCTAGGACGACGAGGTAATGGGGTCCATGTGGTGGTTGGAGTTCCACTACGACCAGACCCAGTACTAGCCTTGGTTCCACCTCTCACACCCTTTGCAATGCAAGGTGTCAGTAGTATGCTCATGATGATAGAAAGCACAAGCACAATCTTCATAGCATTTTTCATCTTTTTTTCTCAGCTTCTGCTAATAGATGATCGAATTGTATTTAACTTTTTATGTATTGATCGTGTAAAAGATAGAAAATCTAGACACTATCAAGATTATATATTTCCTTGACGTTCTTAGTATTTTGTCTTGTTATTGTCTCACGTTGGGTGTAAGAGAATAAGTTAATTTGGATATGTAGAAGCAACAAACACATGTATATTTATAAGGAACAAGGGAGTTGGTCATTTCTCATTACATAGAAACGCAATTTGGCAAGAGAGGATTAGGAACTTTATTTGACTCTCTTAAAATTGGTCTAGTGTCCAACTTGAGAAGTAGACAATTAATTAGTCAACGTACAAGAATAGATTTAAGGAAATTTTGACATGTGAAAACAATACGTAGATTTTTATTTGATACTGATGTTTTCATCAGATTTGGCATCCTTAATTTTCTTGTTATACGTGTGATATATATTGGTGAAAATACAATAACAACTAGAAAATGAAGAAAGCAAAAAATATTTACGTTGAGATGCGAATATCTGTGTTTTCCACTTCAAAAATAAAATTACAAGTCCAAAAGTAATATTCTTATTGACATCTCTCCTTCATGATATAATAGCCGAACAAACGTGTGAAATTAATCAACAAACTTAGAAAAAGAGTTGAGTCCAAAGCTAAAAAAAATAGGGAAAATTACGCGTATAAGCAAACATATACTAGTTAATGAGTTAGCATAGCTATAGTTTACCTTAATTACAATTCGCGACCTACTTGTAACTATAATTGCGCGGCTCAGCTCTTTAGTTTTGTATAATTTGCACGTTTGTATAATTCAGAATTTGTATAATATAATTTGTATAACTTTTGTATAATTCAGAATTTGTATAACTATTTACACTTCTGATGTTTGTAATTGTATAAATTCGTTATTTCGAGTTTATACAAAAATAAATGATTTATACAAATGTACTCGCGAATTATACAAATCTGCGAATTATACAAAGGAATCAACTTAAATTGTAGCTACAACCCGCAAATATGCAAACTATAGATATTGAGCATAATTAAGTTTATTATAGTGTCTATTTGTGAAAGTTCAAAGAAAATAATACCATTCTTCAATTAAATAATACTTTCCAATTTTCATGCACTTTGTATTTTTCTTATACCTAATATAATATACTCCTAGTCCTAAGACTTGTCACTATTTATCGATGAGGAATTTTTTATATATATTAAATAGATAGGGCGAAATAGTAATGTGTGTAAGTAAATAAAAAAAGTAATGCTTTAAAAGTTATATAAATTATAAGCATAATGAGATAAAATAATAATCAAATAAAAAGTTAAAAAATTATAAAAGTTTCATAAAAACCTATTGCCACGTACATTCTCCCACTAACTTAAATGTGATAAATAATGCATAGCAAAAGCCACCAACGTGCAGCAGCACATTTTGACATTGTAGAATGATGCACTTTAACAAAATATTTGATATTAAAATGCTTAATACCCAACATGTGAATTACAAGACTCAAGCGTGAAACTTTTTGACGGGAATAATCTAAGAGGACTAGTATCATTAATAAAAAAATAGTATATTGTTACAAATTTGAGTGGTGACTAGTTTTAAGTAAATATATAGGGCAAAAAAGATACTAGTTTGAAAAATCATCTAATATTTAGAACAAAAAAGTGTTGTTTCCACACAAAATAATTTTGTCG